CCTGGTCACAGTTCCAAAGAAGATAAGAATTCTTGTGTTCACTCACAGACCAGAGCATAGGCCAGGAGAGGAGTAAACACACCTTGCCTTAGATCATATCACCTTGGAAGAGCTTAAAACTTACAAACCCCCAGAACTAGCTCTGAAAAAAGTAAAATGAAAATCCTGCAGCTTGGGAGAGTGCCCCCTCCATCCTGAGAGCAGATCCCAATTTTAACATGAAGTTTAAAGTCAAGAAATAGGCTAGAAAAATGAGCAAACAAACAGAAAAGAATCTGACCATAGAAAGTTACTACAATGACAGAGAAGAGCAAAACAAACTTAGAAAAAACACAATGTCAACACAGCTCTATCCAAAGCCTCAAAGAAAAGTGTGAATTGGTCCCAAGTCCAAAAAGAATTCAAGAAGAGCTCAAAAAGGATTTTAAAAATCAAATTAGAGAGTTAGAGGAAAATTGGGAATAGAAATGAGAGTAATGCAAGGAAATCATGAAAAAAGAGTCAATAATTTGGTAAAAGAGGCACAAAAATATACTGAAGAAAATAATACCTTAAAAAACAGAATAGGTCAGCTGGTAAAAGAGGCACAAAAATCCACTGAAGAGAAGAACGCCTTAAAAAATAGAGTTGGCCAAATGGAAAAAGAGGTACAAAAATTCACTAAAGAAAAGAGCTGCTGCACAAACAAAGCCAATGCAACCAAGATTAAAAGGGAAGCAGAAAGCTGGGAAACAATTTTTATAGCCAGTATCTCTGATAAAGGTCTCATTTCTAAAATATATAGAGAATTGAGTCAAATTTGTAAGAATAAAAATCTTTTCCCCATTTGATAAGCAAAGGATATGAACAGATAGTTTTCAAATGAAGAAAGTAAAGCTATCTATAGTCATATGAAAAAATGTCTAAATCACTATTGATTACAGAAATGCAAATGAAAACAACTCAGGTACCACATCACACATCAGATTGGCTAATATGACAAAACAGGAAAATGATAAATGTTGGAGAAGATGTGGGAAAATTGAAACACTAATGCATTGTTGGTGGAGTTGTGAACTGATCTAACCATTCTGGAGAGCAATTTGGAACTATGCCCAAAGGGCAATCAAACTGCACATACCCTTTGATCTAGCAATACCACTATTATATCTGTATCCCAAAGAGATCATAAAAAAGGGGAAAGGACCCACATGTACAAAAATATTTTTAACAGCTCTTTTCGTGGTGGCTACAAATTAGAAATCAAAGGGATGCTGTCAATTGGGGATTGGCTAAACAAGCTGTGGTATATGATTGCAATGGAATATTATTGTTCCACGAGAAATGATGAGCAGGCGGATTTCAGAAAAATCCTGGAAAGACTTACATGAACTGATGCTAAGTGAAGTGAGCAGAACCAGGAAAACATTGCACACAGTAACAGCAATGTTCTGCGTTGACTGACTTTGATAGACTCAGCTCTTCTGAGCAATGCAATGATCTAAGACAATTCCAAAAGAATCATGGTGGCAAATGCTATCTACATCCTGAGAAAGAACTATGGAGTCTGAATACAGAGTGAAGCATACTATTTTCTCTTTTTTTTCTTTTCTCATAGTTTTTCCTCTTTTGTTCTGATTGTTCTTTCACAGCATGACTAATGTGGAAATATGTTTAATAGTATTCTAAATGTATAGCCTATATCAGATTGCATGCCATCTTAGAGAGGGGGGAGAAGAGAAAGAGCGAAAAATTTAGAACTCAAAATCTTATAAAGGTGAATGTTGAAAACTATAATTATTTATTAAAAAAAAAATAAGAAAAGAATCTCTTAATGGATTGGCCACATAGAAAAAGGATGCACAAAAACTCACCAAAGAAAAAATTCCTTAAAAATTAGAATTGGGCAAGTGAAACCTAATGATTCCATGAGACATCAAGAAACCACAAAATAAAATCAAAAGAATGAAAAATAGAAGAAAATGTGAAATATCTCATGACCTGGAAAATAGATCTAGAAGAGATAATTTTAAAATTATTGCACTACCTGAAAACTATGATAAAAAAAAAGAGCTTAGATATTAAGGAAAACTGCCCTGATGTCCTATAACCAGAGGGTAAAATGGAAATTGAAAGAATCCACTGGTTACCTCCTGAAAGAGATCCTAAAATGATAACTCCCCAGAATGTTATAGCCAAATTCCAGAGCTGTCTGGTCAAGGAGAAGAGATTGCAAGCATCCAGAAAGAAAACATTCAAATATTGTGGAGCTATGATAAGGATAGTACAATATTTAACAGCTTTAACATTAAAGGAGCAGAGGGCTTGGAATATGATATTCTGGTGGGCAAAGGAACTAGGATTACAACTGGGAATCACCTACCAGGCAAAACTGAATATAATCCTACAGGGGGAAAATGGTTATTTAATGAAATAGAAGGGTTTCCTAATGAAAAGACCAGAGCTGAATAGAAAATTTGACTTTCAAATACAAGACTCAAGAGAAGAATAAAAAGGTAAACAGGAAATATAAATCATAAGGGATTCAGTAAGGTTAAACTATTCACATTCCTACATGGGAAGATGATATTTGTAACTCTTAAGAACTTTAATATTATTAGGACAGTTACAAGAAGTATACATAGAAAGAGGGCACAGGTATGAGTTGACTATGAGGGGATGCTATAAAAAAATAAAATTAAAGGATGAGAAAGAAGAATGCACTGGGAAAGAGGGAAGACTAAAATGGAATGATATCTAAAAAAATATTGGGTAACAAAGAGGGATGCACTGGAAAAAGGGGGAAAGGAGAGGTAGAATAGAATAAATTACCTCACATAAAAGAGATGTGAGTTTTTACAGTGGAGGAGACAGTGGGGGAAGGAGTAGCAGGCAGTGTTCAAATCTTACTCTCATCAGATATGGCTCAAAGAGGAAATAACATATGCACTCAAATGAGTATTTAAATCTACAGAGAATTAGGAGATGGTAGAAGGGAGGGCAGATTAATGGAGGAAGTAGTCAGAAGCAAAACACTTTTGAGAAGAGGCAGAGTGAAAGGAAAAAGAAAAGGATAACTTGGAAAATAAGATGGAGGGAAATAAAGTTAGTAATCATAATTGTAGGAAAAAATTTTATAACAAAATTCTCTGATAAAGGTCTCATTTCTCAAATTTATAGAGAACTGAGTCAAATTTATAAGAATATAAGTCATTCCCTATTTGAAAAGCAGTCAAAGAATATGAACAGGCAGCTTTCAGATGAAGGAATCAAAGCTATCCATAGTCATATGAAAAAAAATGCTCTAAATCACTATTAATTAGAAAAATGCAAAGTAAAACAACTCTCGGGTACCACCTCACACCTGCCAGCTTGATTAATATAAAGGAGAGAAAATGACAAGTGCTGGAGAAGAGGTGGGAAAATTAGGACATATAGAACTGTTTGTTGGTAGAGTTGTAAACTTATTGAACCGTTTTGGAGAGCAATTTGGAACTTTGCCCAGGGCTATAAAACCATGCATACCCTTTGACCGAGCAATATCACTACTACATCTGTATCCTAAAGAGATATTTCTAAAAAAGGAAAAGAATCTGTATGTGCAAAAATATTTATAGCAATTTTTTTGTGATAGCAAAGAACTGGAAATTGAGCAGATGCCCATTATTTAGTGAATGGCTGAATGTTATAGTATATGATTGTAATGGAATACTATTGTGCTATAAGAGAGGATGAACAGGATGCTTTCAGAAAAACCTGGAAAAACTTATGTGAACTGATGCAAAGTGAAGTGAGAACAGTGTACACAGTAACAGCAATATTATACAATGATCAAATGTGAGTGACTTGGCTATTCTCAGCAATGCAATGATACAAGACAGTTTCAAAGGATATATGATGAAACATGCTCTATACCTCCAGAGAAGCAACTGAGCTGAATGTAGATTAAAGAAAACTTTTTATTTTTTTTCTTGGGGGTTGTTTTGATCTTTCTCCCGCCACAGCACAACTAATATGGAAATGTTTTTCATGACTGCACATGTATAACCTATAACAAATTGCTTGCCTTCTCGGTGGGGGAGGGGGAGGAGAGAGGGAGAGAACTTGGAACTCAAATTTTTTTAAAAAATGAATGTTAAAAATTGTTTTTACATGTAATTGGGGAAAATAAAATATTTTATAAAAGAATAATCTTAGTATGGTATTAAAGATGAGAACTATTGGTTTTGGGTTGTATCTAACTTGGGATCATAAATTTAGAGCTGAAAGGGATTGATTTTAGAGCTCTGCACTCTCATTTTACAGATGAGGAAAGTAAGGCTTAAAGAGTAAGGCTTATAGTGGCCACCTAAATATTAAGTGAAAGGCTTGTATTTAAACTCAGGTCCTCTGACTCTAGGTCTAGTTTGGTTCCCACTGTACCAATTATTGCCCCTAATTTCTAAAATTAGACTTTATTATTAGAGTTGGCAGGAAAATTAGAGATTGTCTAATATAATGGGGTCAAACAAACAGAATCAGAGGCCACTGATTGCTACATCAAGATCCCTGCAGGCTGAATATTGACTTAGTTTTAAAATGTAATATTGTATATCTTGTATTGTTATTTATTTTCTTAAATATCTCCCAATTGCATTTTAATTTGGTTCTGGCTGCCCTGAGGAGGGTTGAGGGCCACCTGCAACATGCAGGCCATATGTATGATACCACTAGTTTAATACACACTCTTCACCTTACAAATGTGGAAACAGGCCCAGAGAGGTTGAATAGCACATCTAACTCACAGAAGTAGTTGGTAACCCAGCTGAGAGATAAATCCAGGTCTTTTAATTTCTAGGCCAATGGTTCATTCCACTGTACCATAAAGTTATTTTGTAGAAGAGCACAAAAAAGGACCAGTTGACCTGATTTCTATAAGAATATTTGTTACCCCATAGAACACAGAGAATAACCTTGGGGATAATTGGCTTTAACATCCAGAAAAGTATGAAGCTCAATGTCATTTTTTTTCTTTTTCTCAGGTTTCATTGATTTTATAGTAGAGCCAACATTTTCTCTTCTTACGGATTCAACAGAGAAAATTGTTATTCCTCTTATAGAGGAAGCCACAAAATCTGAAAATTGTCCCTTTGCATCAAACAGGTTTGGCTTTTTTCCTGCCTTTTCGTTGTAATTTTTAATAGCATATTATTTGCAATAAGCATTATTTCTAAAGACAAAAGGAAAACTCTTGTGGGACTTATTATGTGACATTGCCACCTGGTGGCAATATGGTAGAGTTACAACTGCAATCATGGACAAATTACATTGGCACACGCCAGGTCAAGGTCATAGACTTAAAAAACACCTTAGAGATCATCTAGTCCAACCCCCTCATTTTACAGATGGGGAAACTGAGACCTAGAGGAAAAGTGAATTGCTCTGGTTTGAACAGGTGATGAACAAAAACTGATGCCATCTACATACTGTATTTTTCTGTGAGGAGTTGAAAAAGGATTAATTTCTGGTGATTTTTTAACGTTTAGATTAAGTATGTACTTTGTGCAGAAGACCAGTAAAATATATCTGAAAGTTATTCCTAAATGTCAAAAAATACAGACTTCATTTTCCCCAAACAGTATGAAATATGCAGTGTGAAATAGTAATATAATACTAAACAAAAATTATACATCATCTTCAGTGTTCTGAGACTTCTATATACAATCTGTTATAAGACAGTACCTGTTCTAAAGGAACTCCCATTAGCAAAATTGACAAATGGATGCAACACAGACCTAGACATTTTCCCTAAATCTCCAAAAGAATCCATACTACTTTAAAGATGACTGGCATTTAAGCTAACACTTAGATAGTATTTTAAGTCTTTACATATGTTATCTTATTTGAGCCTCAAGACAACCCGCTGAGGAAGGTGCTATTATGGTGGTGGTTATTATTGTTGTTATTATTATTGCCATTTTACAGATGAGGAAGCTGAAGCTGAATGAGTCTCAGTTTCCTCATCTGTAAAATGAAGGATTTGTACTAGACCAGAATTATACTGCTTGTTAGTGTCTGAGGCAAAATTTGAATTCAGATCTTCCTGACTAAATACAACATTCTATCCACTACACTACCTAGCTGCCTTAAGACTCTGGCCTATTGAAAAATAAGCTATACACACACATACACACACACACACACACACACACACACACCCCTTTTCTTTCACCTGTCTTGAAAAAAAAAACAACTTCCAAAGTTTAGAGTTGCAAAGGAGTTTGGTGGCCATCTAGCCCTGATCTATTAGGGTCAGATGACTTTTGGAAGGTATGGATCACAGAAGAACACATTCTATGGAGGAAAAGTAAGATATGCAAAGATAAGCAAATATAAGGTAGCATCAGGGTTTTAATTTATCATGTCTCCTATCCGTTATTATATGTCTCATGGATAAGGAGTAGGGCTATGTTGTGTGAGTTTTATATATTTCTCTATATTCAATTCATCTAAGAACTCATCCAGAATTCCAAACTAATGTTCTATTGCCAAACTCATTTTTAATGGTGTTGTTCAGTTGTGTCCAACTTTTTGTGACCCCTTTGGGGGTTTTCTTGGCAAATATACTGGAATGATTTGCCATTTTCTTCTCCAGCTCATTGTATAAAAGAGGAAACAGAGGCAAACAGGGTTAAGTGACTTGCCCAGGGTCACACAGGTAGTAATAGTTTGAAGCCAGATTCGAACTCAGGAAGGTGAGACTTCCAAACTCCAGACCTAGCACTTCAACCACGGTGCCATCTAGCTGCCCATTTTAATGTAATATCATTTAAATGAACATTTATGCACATCATAATAATTTTAAATGTTTTAATATTCACTTCACAACTCACAGATTCACTCAGTATTCCCCTAATGATACAGATGGGCTGATGTCTTATCCAAACAAGCCCTTCTATCCTCTGCCCTGATCAGATTATATCTGGTTTCCTGTGTTCAATTCAGGGGAACCACAATTTAGAGAGGACATTGACAAACTGGAATGAGTTCAGAGGAGGAAGAAAATGAGGAATACTTAGCCAAGAGAAGAGAAGATCAAGAGAGAGCATTGAATCACTGCTCGAACATTGTCACGTGGAAGAGGATATAGACTTGTTCTCCTTGTCACCAAGAAACAGAACTAGGAACAGTGGGTGAAAATTGTCTAGAGATTTAATGTATGGAAAAAAATTCAAAATACTCTGAGCTATACAGAAGTGAAATCAATTAATTCAGGGAGTTGTGGGATTTTCACAACGGAAAGTCTTCAGAGGGAATACTTGCCAAATATTGTAAAGAAATCTCCGCTCCAGGTATGGAGTTGGCTTCAGTCCTAGCTTTCAACTCAAAGATGTTGTCTGCTATTGTAACAAGTCCCACTAGAATGTAAGCTCATTGAGGGCAAGGAACAATTTGCTTATTGTCTTTGTATCCCTTAGCATCTCAGACAATTGCTGGCCCATAGTTAACAAATACTTGCTGAATTGAATTGTAGGTTTTGCAGAATCACAGAGCTGAATCTTATAGGAGAACCAATGTTCATGAATGGGACCACCACTAGCATGACACTTTGGATTTTAATAATGTCCTCTCCTTTCTCCAAATGGGATTGGTGCTACTCTGCTTGGTGACCTTCATCAATGAGTTCAGCTCTGGGCCAACTATGATTGAGTTATTAACATTGTTTCACCTAAAAAGTCAATACCTTCTCAGGGTTGGACTTCTCCTGAGAGCCCTGGAATATGCAGCTGCTGGAGTGTAGGACTACTTACCTTTTGAGGAAGGAAAGGGAATCTAACAACAGTGGCCCTGTTTTCTGTGCCAACTGCTTTGTGTTGAGGGAATTTCATTGATTCATTCAACAAGTATGATAAACATCTGCTGTGTACCAGGAATTGTATTAGCCACAAGGGATAGAAAGATTAAAATTTAAAAACAGTTCCTGCCCCTGAGGAACTTACTTTCCAGTGGAAGGGAACAATATACACACAGGTATACATAGGTAGTTGTTGTTGTTGAGGGGTTTCAGCATGTTCAACTCTTCATGACCCCATTTCTCAGTAAAGATACTAGAGTGGTTTTCCATTTCCTTCTCCAACTCATTTTTCAGATGAGGAAAAACTGAGGCAAACAAGGTTAAGTGACTTGCCCAGGGTCACACAGCTACTAAGTGTCTGGGGCCAGAATTGAACTCAGAAAGATGAATCTTCCTGACTCCAAGCCAGGCATTCTATCCATCACCTACTTGCCATTAAATAATAATTTCTGGGTTTGATTCCTGGTTTCTTCTTCACATAGCCTATCTTCTATTTCAAATTCAATGGGCAGGGGGAGAGGTGAGGGAAGGTCTTGCCAGGTTTTTAAATAAATTTCTGAACAAATTTTCTTTTCTTTTATAGCTCACCTAACACTGGATCTTTAAGTGTTGGGGATACTTTAAAAAGGCCAACTGTTAAAAGCAACATAGGTGATAAGTCTAATTCCTCAGACTATTCTCTTGCAACAGTGGACCTGAAGAGCTTTAAGAATAACTTGGTGGACATCATTCAACAGAACAAAGAGAGGTGGAAAGAGTTAGCAGCACAAGGTATTCATGAATACATTTACCTTTTTTTTATAGTGATGCCTCACCTCGATCCTTTGGATTGTTTCCCATTTTATTGTCTCTGTCATAACATGTTCATGTTCTTTAGAACTAAACAATCTCTCTCTTTCTCTGTCTCTCTCTTTTTTCTGTCTCTCTTTTTCTCTGTCTCTTTTTCTGTCTGTCTGTCTCTCTCTTTCTCTTTCCCTGTCTCTCTCTTTTTCTGTCTGTCTGTCTCTTTTGCTTTCTCTGTCTCTCTCTTTTTCTGTCTCTCTGTCTTTCTTTTTCTCTGTCTCTCTCTTTTTCTGTCTGTCTGTCTCTCTCTTTCTCTGTCTCTCTCTTTTTCTGTCTGTCTGTCTCTTTCTCTTTCTCTGTCTCTCTCTTTTTCTGTCTGTCTGTCTCTCTCTTTTCTCTGTCTCTCTTTCTGTCTTTCTTTTTCTCTGTCTCTCTCTCTCTCTCTCTTTCTTTCTTTCTCTCTCTTCATTTCCCTATTGCCTCCCCCCATCCCCTTTTTACTCCCTTAGATAGTTTGACTGTTCTGTGAGATAAATTCAGACTATGCAGGAAAGAGTATACGTGATACAGACCCAATAATACCTTTGTTTCTTTGAAGGTACTTCTAAGTGTCTTTTAACATTAGGAAAGAACACTGGACTTTAAGAAAGAAGACTCTGGGTCAAGCCTTGGCAGGAGTCCTTCCAGGCTCCATTGTTCCATGATTAGCTTGTTTCTTGCATTTGAAATAAGGATTTCTTGTGTCATATACCATAAGGGGTTGACATGTTTCTAATTGCTTTAGCCAAATCATCTGTTTGGCTGATCACTTATCTTCTGAGTTTGGGAATATATCTCTGGAAACTACAGTGCAACAAACCTAGCTTCTGTATTGTCTGATATATGTGTTATTATCAGTTCATTACCATTCCAAAAATCTAGGGGATAGGGTTAACCAAGTCATGATAGACTTGGGCAGATCTTTCTCAAATCACTTTCATATGTTTATACTTTAAGTTTGCAATGGATCCATGATCTCACTGATGTGGCTCTTTTCCCTCCAGCAATACAAATTGCAACCTTTTCACACTCTTCTCACCCTGCATGGTTCTTGCTCATGTCCTCCCTAAGTGATCCACAGAGAATCTATTAATATTAAACATACTGAATCCCTTCCTGTGTCATTGAATTTTACACTAGGAAAAGTGCTTCACTCAGGCTATTCATTTATTAGACCTTGTTCTTCTCATATGAATGGCTCATTTGCTTCTCCAATCATACATTTCCTAGGTTTTATATTTTACCCCTTTATATTTATCTGTTATGGATGTGACTATAGTCAAGACTTGGCTGATAGAATTAATGGAAAACTTATCATGTTTATAAGTCATTATTAGCAAGTACCATAGTCTAGTGACACTAATCACCCAATTCTCCGTTGTTCTTTGGGTCAATACTAGTTTAACTCTCAAGAGGTCATGGTATTCTATCAAGGAGAACATTTTCCTAGCAAATTCTAATAGAAATAATTCTAATAACAATAACTATTGTTAGCTATTATTCTGATTAATTCTAGACAATAATAATTCTTACATCATCAAAAACTTTGTGATGATTATTTATCCTTTCTCCAAAGGGAACAAAAGTATATGAAAACAAAAAGCATCACAATTTTTTTAAAAAAAATAAGGAGCTCAAAAGTCAATATATAGTAACTGGTTAAGTTCCAAGCAGTGGTATTCTAGAAAATGTTTAATAACCTGTAAAAATGAACAGAATCATAAATCAAGCCCTGATTTGTAGCGTTTGCTAATTTCTGGGGTGTAAATACTGAAAATTTTACAGTCAGTTCTTATGAGCTGGTATAAGCTGGCTGCAGTTTGGGTTCCAACTACCTAATTGTAAGGTATGAATTATGTACAGTGATAAGCAGGAACCAAGTTCTTATATAAAAACCAAATACAAATCATCTTTGAGCACTCCACCCTCTTTTTCTTTCTTATCAACTGATGAAACTAGAATTCTGTTACTCTCCTATGAGCAGGGGCCTTATACTTCCTATATATATCTGTGCACTTTACCATTCTTATGGTCAATTTATGGTCATTTGATTCTACCTTTAATACTGTGATAGTTTTGTTTCCTCACTGCCTATTTTTATTCCTTAAATTTGTTTTTTTTTTGTCTTATTGCTATAGCCAATATTTCTAATACAATATTGAATAATGGTGGTGGTAATGGATATCCTTGCTTCACCCCTGACCTTATTGGGAAGGCTTCATATATATCCCCATTACAGATATTGCTTACTCTTGGTTTTAGATAAATACTATTTATCATTTTAAGAAAGGCTCCATTCTTATTATTTCTAGTGTTTTTAATACGAATGGGCATTGCATTTTGTCAAGAGCTTTTTCTGCATCTGTTGATATAATCAGATGACTTTTGTTGTTTTTGTGAGATTGCTGATTGAACAATTAACACATACCTTGGGCTATAGGCTACCATACCAGATCTATTTCATATTATGCTATTCTAACATACCTGACATTCCAGACAAACTGACATATTTGCTATTTTATGAACTGAGTATTCCATCCCCTGCCTCCATGGCTTCTCAGAAGTTGTCCTCCAGGCCTAGAATGTGTGTCTTCTCTACCTCCACCACTTAGAATGCCCAGCTTCCTTTAGAGCTCATCTCAGGAGCAATACCCTTTGAGAAGCCTTTTCCAATTCCCCCTCATCATCAGTGTTCTCTCCTTTCTCTTGGATTTATCTGTTTCCAACTTTCATTTCATATCTTCATTGGAACCCCCAACCCTAGAGAACTGCAAGCTTCTTGCTTCTAGGGACTCTTTCATCTTTGTCTTTGTAGCCCTCAGGGCCTAGCATAGTACTCTACACACAATTATAACTTAATAAATGTTGGTAGAAGGGAATTAAATTGAATTAAATTTTGTTCTTTCTTGGACACAAAGTGCTAAAAATATCCTAATATAACTACAGGAAAACACCTAACACATGCTGGCTATGTGACCTTGAATAAGTCCCATAACTTCTCTGTGCTCCAAGCAACCCTTTAAGAAGACAAGTTTCAGAGCAGGTGTCCCTCTGCATTGATATAGGGAGCTCCTTAGAACAAATGAAATCAAAAGTCTGGGCCAAAAGAAACAAATATAATTAGATATAGTTATATTGTTTAACTAGATAACCATTTTCATTTACTGCCCTATTCAGTAATGATTCACAGACTACCAGGTCCGAGTCACCAAAGGTTCAATCCTCTTAAGTAAATATACTTGACTTATATGTCAAAAAAGTTAAATAAATATAATTTAGAGATATTTGCAGTATCAACTAAAACAAAATGGATTCTTATTGATTAGTCAGAGAATCTAATTAATTCAGAACAGACTTGCAAACAAGTTAAATAGTATCTTATAGCACTCTCAGAGCATTCCCATGAGGATAAATGAATGAATAAAAATATATATATATATATATTAAGTGCTTACTATGTGCCAGGTGCTGTGCTAATCATTGAAGAGAAATATATAAAATAAAGACAGTCCCTGACCTTAAGGAGCTTACATTCTAAAAAAAGACTACACAGATAGGAAAGTTGTGGCTAGGAAATAGCATTTTGGTCTGAAAAATCACAGAGACAGAACTAGAAGGCAATAGATTGACCAATTCTTGTCCAGAAGCAATGGTATTGCAATTTGAGAGGTTGAGATGTTGTGATCCCTCAAAGACTGAAGTACAGGATGGGGTCGTCTGGAATGAATTCACAGACTCCAGCATTCTTTAAGTCAAGGTGGCAAAAAGTTTATTGTTATGCTTTTCAGCAGGCAAGGATTCTTAAGGATCCTGCAATCTTAAAGTTGTACAGTTAAAGTTTATATAGGATAAAATACAATAAAATATGTGCCAAATATGCTATCTAGATGATTCAGGGTGGGATTAGGGAGTGGTTAAGGATTGATCAGTTCTTAAAAGAACATGCACTTTTTGTACCTACTGCACAGGCGTTTTACCCAGAGTTCACTAGGAAAAGCCCACGGTGGGGGGCACATGGAGGTATGGTTTTAGGACTGCCACGTCACTAAGTTAACTAGAGTTCAGGGGTAACTGAGAGTTGTCCAGTCTGCCACCAATCAATGTCTTGTTTGACAAGATAGATGTAGGGAGTATACATATGTCTTAAGTCTAGAGTACAGTTAATGAGAAGCCCAGGATGCAGATAATGAGGTAGGGAGTCCAGTGGGTAGGAATGTCTTTATCACCCAGTGCAAAGCCAGTTCAAACTAATAATTCCTTCAGGTGCTGTTTGGAACTGCACCAGGGAAAGAGATAAGGGTCTTGCTGGGGCCCACTCATGAGTAATTGCTAGGCACAGTGTCCTTGGGCTGGGGAGAAACTGTCAGGGATAGTGTTTATGATGCTAGGGAGAAATTGGGGTCCAAGCACAAGCACCCAAACACAAGCACCCAAGCACCCCATCAATCTTTAGAGGTCTGACTAGGAGAAGACAGAGGTTACAGGGGTGGCCTTGCAGGATCATCGCCAGGGTGAAGAGTGAACAATAGAGAGACCTGTTTGCCAGTCTATTGTTTGGAGGTAGCTGCAGGAAAAATCTTAAATTACTTTCCAAGGGTAGGGAGAAATTTTCTGGTAACCCTTTCTGATGATTTTATTCTGTTTAATATTTTTCAAGTTCTAAAGTTCTTTACCATATCACCAAGTTCATAAAGGAATCTCAAGAACTCAATGCATTGAAAAGGTTGAACATTTCTAATCATTGTAATGGCTACTGACAAACATGCCCCATTGAACGTCATTAATTGGTTTCACGAAAACTCTTAGAAGGAATAGTGTTATAGGAGCCAATTACTTCCATAGGAACCATGCCAAAAATGAGCAATTGGCCAAAAGATATTACAACAGTTTTACAGTGTTATAATGGAGTGTAGTTATCAGAACCATAAGAAACCCAATTAGACCAAGGG